TTCGGGGCCGAAACGCGATCATACATCGAGCACAGAGATCGACATGATGACGGAAGCTGATGCGCTTCATGCGGCTCTTAATGGTCCCCCACGCAAGAGAAAAAGAACCCGAAAGGTTCAGACGGATCGCAAATTTGAATGCACATTTGAGGGGTGCGGCAAGAGTTACTCGCGAGCGGAGCATTTGTACCGCCACCAACTGAACCGTACGCATGCCGTCCTTCCCAGAGCTTGTGAGCAAGTACTAACTGGCTGTCGTTCTAGATACCCCCAAGCAGATTTATCGATGCGACTTTCCCGATTGCTACCGCTCCTTCGTGCGACAAGACCTATGTATCCGTCATAGAGAACGCCACACCACCCAGGGATCGCAGCTACAGAAGCGTGATCACTTTGCGCAGACGGCAGCAACCGGCAGCAATTTGAAAAAGTCGCAAGCTTCTCAAGTCATGTCACAGGTGAACGCGAACCACGCGCCTACACTCATTCCGCTACCCTCCAATTACTCGCCCGTACAAGCTCCATCGGAGGGTCCTACAATGACAGTGCCTGCGATGAGTGCATCGAATCAGCACGTACATATGCCATCGCCCCCGGGATCTGTGGGCATGGGCCAGGGGTTCAATTATCAGACTCTGGTCTCCCATCATGCGGTGGACCTGTCCGACCCTACGTTTTCCCGATCGAACAGCACCAGTAATCATACCCTCAGCTCTCCCCCAGGACCGTCAAGCACAACAACGTTTAGTCCTCCGGAGATCCAGGCGGTGCCTCATACTGCGCTCGGCAGTCACTCTGCCGGCAAATCCTCGCCCAATTCGGGCGACTTGAGCCACGAGGTTCGGTCTCATCACTCCGTACCCGAAACAACCTCCATAACACATGATATCGACGGCCCTTCGTTGGCTCATCCCACCACCTACTCAGGCCTACAACTCCCTCCCGGGGGATACACAGATATATCGATGGCTCCAGCGACGTCGGCTTCGACGGCTCTGGACAACGGAACACTAGAGTCGATGTCAGAGATGATGACATCCGGTCCATCAGTGGGGGATGCCGGCTTCGACGCGCTGGCTTCTTGTGTCTACCCGGTGTTTGGCGGCGAAGCCCACAACCGTTCACCTTTCGCCATGGCGGATGATTTCACAGCGTGGCTGTTCAACGATCCCGTGACTGGCTCTCCGTCCATGGGGTATCCTGCCCCAACTAACGTGGTGCCAAATTACTTGGACGCTGTCCAACTACAGAACCAGTTCTTCATGAGTGATCCTGCCTATGGCAGCTTTCTCAGTGGTGTGATTCCGCATCATCCGATGAGTGTTACGAGCATTCTGGATCCGGGATCGCCGCGCGCCATCATGTCAGAGGAGAAGAGACAAGAACTCCTGGCCCTCATGAGCTCGAGGTTCAATGAGGCCTTCTACGCAGTGTCTGCTAAGCGCAAGGATGCTCTAATGGACGGCGACATTGACGACGACGACCATGTGCTGAGTCTACGGATGATGCAGATGTACATCGGCTCGTATTGGTACCACTTCCACTCTCAGTTGCCCATTCTACATCGTCCAACCTTCGAGGCAGACAAAGCGCCTAATCTTCTTCTGCTCGCAGTGATGGCCATTGGCGCATCCACGCTGGATGGCATCCACGGGTCGGAAGTAACCGAGGCAGCAGCTGAGCTGGCGAACTTTATCGCCTGGCATCTGCGAACGGAGCTTTTCATGGATGCAGACTTTCGCCCACCAGCTAAGCTGTGGATCTTCCAAGCACTCCTGCTGCTGGAGGTATACGAAAAGATGTACTCCACGCGTGCGCTCCATGAGCGGGCGCATATCCACCACGACACCACACTCACACTGATGCGGCGAGGTAGCTCATTGATTGGCCGCTCTGCATTAGACTCTCCTGCAAGCTTTCGAGACGACCGGCAGGCCCGGTCAGCTTCTGGATCGACAATGGCGCCAGACTTTGTGGCTGAAGAGTCATGGACTCACTGGATCAAGGCGGAGGCCACGAGACGAGTGGCTTTTGCGGCTTTTGTTCTGGACTCTACCCACGCCACTATGTTCGGGCACTCGGCTAAGATGGTGGCTCACGAGCTTCGTATACCATTGCCCTGCGATGAGGCGCTGTGGTCTGCGACTAGCGCCTCTGAGGTAGCCCGCGTGCAATCGAGCTTGCACGCTAATGGAGTCAAGCCTGTCATGTTCTTGGACGGCCTGAAGAAGACGCTTAACGGACAGCGGGTCCGGACAAATGCTTTTGGACGAACCATCCTCATGGCTGGTTTGCTTAGCGTCAGCTGGCACATGAACCAACGAGATCTCCAGGTGAGCTCACTGGGTGGGCCGCCGGCATTGGGAGGCCGGGACAAATGGCGGTCAGCACTGTTGCGAGCCTTTGACAATTGGCGACGAGACTTTGATGAAGCGTTGGGTCAGTCACCGTCCGGGCCTTTTCATAGGGGATACCGTACCCGGCACCCTCTGGACGACGACAACGTCTTCGAGTCGCGCGACGTGCTCCATGGACTGGCGCACATGGCTTCTCACGTTGATATCGTCGACTGCCAGATCTTCGCTGGGGCTAATCGGCTTATGGGACGGTCTATTACTCCCAGAGACTACAAGGCGGCACGCGAGAAGATGGTTGTCTGGGCCACCAAGGCTACAGCCCGCGACGCCACGTTCTATGCTCTAAAGTTCTTATCGGAGTGCCTTCTGGATGAGAGACGAGCACTGAACGAGGATGGGGAACTGTATTCGGGTCGTGACGACTACCTCTTGAACCGGCCGTGGGTGCTGTATGTTGCGGCTCTCGTCGTCTGGTGCTATGGATTTGCACTTGAAGGGCCCTCTAAGTCACCTGTCAAGTTGAGCACTCCTGCTGCGCAGCGGCAGGACATGCAGGAATTCCTGCGCCGGATGGGCAGTGTTCGTGAGCCCAGCGACTTGGAAGGCATGCAAGGCCGCAACCGCTGTCTGGGTTTGTTGTTGGTCCTCCGTGACGGGTTCACCAACACGCGCTGGGAGTTATTGGCCGAAGCTGCCAACCTGCTCACCAGTTGTATCGACAAGCTGAACGGAGCGGCTTTTTGAACTCACACGTTTCCCTCAAGATTTTTTTAGTTCTTTTGTTAATTCTTCTACATCTTTTCTATGTATATAGCGTTTGAGGGAGGGTTTTGTTATTCTGTACATGGTGTACTTGTTTTCGATAAGCATGCTGCCTTGTTTGCTGTATTCTTCTGCGTGACTTATGTTGTTGGCTGTCTGAATACTTTGCGCATGTGTTATGACTTGGATACCAATGGGATGGATAGCGTTGCATGTTTGTATTATTGCAATATCAGTATCTACTGTGTGTATCTTCACAGACGCCAGTCATGTTCCATGATCAATGCTAGTAGGAACTAGTGTAGCCTGATGTTGTCATCGTATCAGACAAGCGCAGATCGATAGGGGGGTTGTCGTGCCTGAGGTGTCCGGTTACCACAACAACAACCGGGCAAACAGTGCCGCCGGACTCTCCTCCATCCCGCCCGCCCTTCTCCTTTCCCTGTTCCCTCATTCTGCCCTCCTCCTTCATTCCAAACCATACGTGGTACTCCTGCCATTGCCGTTCCGTTTGTTTAGATCGTCATCTACATCCCCCTGTCGCTATCCCTCGCAGCCCGCTGCCGCATACTCCTCAAGCAATTACCGCAATCAACACAATAAACAGTCATGGTACGTGGCCGTCTCGCAATTTCGCAATGTCAATAAGAAGCATCGTCCCTCGCTGGCGGGAGAAGAATTGTCCGGATGGCATCAGGAACGAGCAGTGCTCTGTATCCCTTGTTTGTTGACTGTCGTGGTGAACCTCGGGGATCGCTCGTGTGGTTGGATCCATTGAATTCCGGCCCCTCGTCAGCCCATCCAATCCCTTTGCTCGTTTCCATGGTTCACTAGTAGTCGTGGCTGCTTGTTCGTCATCGGCACTCTTCAACTCCCTGTCTTCTTTCCATCCTCATTTCATCTCTGATCACTACTCTTCATCTCGAATTCCTGCCCTGTGATTTTGTTTTCAAGATGTCCCGCTCACCAGATATGCACCATGACCAGGCCTCGACCAACTACAAGGAAGCCTTCTCTCTCTTCGATAAGCGCGGTACCGGCAAGGTCGCGCTCGAGTCGCTGGGCGACCTCCTGCGCGCATGCGGTCAGAATCCCACTTTGGCGGAGATCGCAGATCTGGAGAAGTCCGTCGGTGGAGACTGTACGTATGCCCTGATTTGAGATGGCTGATACGGATCTAACATGCTTTGCGCAGTTGACTTCGAGTCGTTCTTGAAGGTCCTCAACCGCCCTGGAGGCTTCCGTGACCCCGGCGAGCCCGAAGAATACTGCCGCGGATTTCAGGTGTTTGACAAGGACCTGACTGGGTTTATTGGTGTGGGACAGCTCCGTTACAGTATGTGAAGGACTATGGAGATTATTGGATCGATACTGATGATGGATACAGTCCTGACGAATCTCGGAGAGAAGATGTCGGATGAGGAGGTCGACGAGCTGCTCAAGGCCGTCGACACCAGCTCCGGCGAGATCAACTACACCGGTAAGCTACCAACTCTGTGTTCACCACGCCTCTGTTTCGGGTCAAACTAACAGCAGCAGACCTCGTCCGCACCATCCTGGCCAACTAAACGACACACGACACCGATACCCTCCTGACGTTCCTGATGATTTCTGTTACGACGCGAACCTCCTACCAGCCGTGCCGGAGTTGAAGGCTTGAGCATAGTTTAGTTATAGTGCATTGTATATGGGATATTGCGCGATTCAGCATCGGATAAACATGAATAAACATGAATAAATATGGTAAGTAATACATGGTATATGAAGTAAGAATATAAATAGCACAAACAACTCCGACTTATCAATCCCCTCACAACACATCGCCACAACCATAGACTATGCTATGCGCACAGCATCAAAACATAGATAAATGATATAGATTTATCCCTCCAACCACCCCACCCACTCCCTATCCAACCCCTTCACCACCCTCTCCAACTCCTCATCCCGCATCATAACCCCCGTCTCCACCAGCGCCCCAGGCAACAAATACACCACCCTCGCCTTCTCCCCCTCCCCATCTCCCTCCCCATCCCCTCCTTCCCTATTAGTAGAACTCACCCTCCCAAAATGCACCTCATCCAAAAAGTACCCCATCACAACTCTACACCGTCCACACCGAAGGAACAACCTCTTCTCGAACCCATCTTCCCTGCGCACCAGGGTATGTTTCCGATCGGGGATAGTGGTTGAAAGGAGAATCGTGTAGTGTTTTTGTTGTCTCGATTGTTCATCGTCGGTGCTGTTGTCGCGCGGAAGAGGGAGGATTATCGCCCCGTCTTTTGCGGGGGATTTGCGACGTGGTAGAGATGGGATTGAGCGGGTCGTTGCGAGGAGGAGGTGGTTGCAGAAGCGGCAGTGGTGGGTTTGGACGGGGAGGCGGGGGGAGGAGGAGGAGGAGGAGGAGGGTTGTTGGTGTTGTGAGGGGGTGGTGGTGGTTGTGGTTGTGGTTGGTGGTGGTGGTGTTGGGTCGTCTGGGGTTGGTGAGGGAGGCATTGTGGGATTGAGTGTTGACTAGGTAGGTAGTTGGTTTTGTGAAAGCGCGGTAGGTGTGATTTGGTAAGTTTGATGTAGGTTATGGGTGTATGGTTGATTGTTGGGTGTGGTGACGATGATGGGAGGTTCAATGTTGGGTGTGACTGAGGTTTTCGGCTTATCGATAACGGGGATGGTCAGTAACGTACTGTCCTATGGAAGTAATGAAACTAGCTAAAGGCAACCAATCCACTTGGTATTGTGTATAATAGGCAACCAAAGGGTTCATGGAAGAAATCTCAATGCTTCCTTGTTTATCATCTTGAAATGAACCTCTTTTTTTTTTTTTTTTTGTTTCCCCCCAAGGTGACCCTGCATGAGGTCAGATTAAGTGCGAACTAGAAAAATTAATAGGACTTTGTTAATTTTTCTTCGATCATCTGATGGGCCATATGCCATATGCTACATACTACTACAATATGAACTACTAAATACTAAATACTACTGAAGTACACTAGTACTTACGACTACAATGATCGAGCAGAGATCACAGAGGATGTGGCACTAGTACTAGCATAATCTACAGCATGATGCCACGAGCCTACTAGTAGAGTCCGGGATGACCGAACATCTTGAATCGGGATAAAAATCGAATGCAGCAGGTCACATGTGGGCTACATCGGGATTTGACAGACAGCCAAAAGTCACTTTTGCACCTTCCAAGTAATGAAAATCGTGCTTCTGCAACACTACTACTTCGTGCTTACTTTGCTTATCACTTTATGCTTGCTTTTGGGGAAGTGTTACCCGAGCCAATCACCCCATCCCAGCCTACACGTTGTCCATTATCTCTGTGGACAATCTTCAATGGCTGAGATCTACCAACCTTTTTACCGTCAGCCCTGAATGAATCTTGTGTGACACGGCACCATTGGCTAGCCGGCAGTGGTTGCAGACGGAAGACTTCTTGTACGAGGGTGTGATGAACCTGCAGCATTACCCTGGTACCAGCCAGCTGTGACGATCGGACTTTGCCTGCGATGCGATGCACCATACTACTTAATCCTTTTGTCCAATAGGAGTGTTCTTTCCACTCCCCAAATCACTAATGCGATCTCTAGTTCCGGACTCACTATGATACCTTATCCGGCTGATGAAGAACTCCGTCCCCTTCAACAATCATCTCTCCTCGTGGAGGCTTGAGCCCAGCTCAGTAACTGCTTCAAACCAGACTTTCCATTACCAGAACTTTCAGTAGAAAGTCCAAGACTATATCTCAGATGACTTGTCCGTCAAGAGAGGTATTCTTGTCCCACCCTAAGTGCCATTCCCTTAGAATACCCACATTCCTAGAACCCGCAAACAAAGATTTGGGTGAACTCAGGCCAAGAAGTGTCTATTAATACCCGGCATAAGCGATTTCCCTGGTGTGGTAATCCAAACCAGAGTAACTGTCTGCCGCAAGCTATTTCGTGAACCCTCGGGTAATGCGGCTGTGAACCGGAACAGGAGCGTCAGGCACCGCTACAGGAAACTCGGCCAGCACGAATATTTTCTGGCACTGTACTCGTAGTGCGGCTCGGATATCATTGCTTCCCTTGTTAATTGAAGAAGTTACATCCGCTCTTGTGGCGCTTCGGCACCTATCGCGGCCCTTCCACTAGCCACTACTACCAACACGTATTCCGCGCTAATCCAAGAAATCGATGAACAGTGGGGCCTTGGTCACGTAGCTGAACTTTCTCAGCCTGAATCATAACATAACCGAGTCATTGACGTTAGTTTTTTCAGTGTGGTTGGCTGGGATTTTGGGCTGGGATTTTGTTGAAGGGATCTGCTCTACAGTAGTTGTCGAACAACACATAGCTCGCCTGCTTTAGATCGTAGACATGTTGAGTCAGTGTCTCCATATCCTCGCTCTACACTGACTCCTCAGATTGGAGACAACATCGATAAGGGCCGAGATAACCGCATACGGCCTACGGAGATTAATGGCGCCGTAGTGCCAGCTGAAGGTGGAAGATCTTGACAATCAAGTGGAGACCAGAACGTGTCAGGACTAAAAAAAAAAATTATTACCCCGTATTGCTCTAGGCGATGACCCTCTGGGCATTAATTCATTCGCTTCAGCTGAGCAAGCTGCGGTGAACTAGCCGATCTGATGGTAGCTGGGCTTGAACTAGTCGGACATATCAGATGTGAGGGGTATATAAATGGCACGTTTCCGGACAGTGGCCATCCAGCAAGATCTTCTACTACTAAATTCTTCGAGCCACAAAATGGAGTCTTCCCCGTTCAATATCACAGAACATGTTGTTGATTGCCAGCATATCCGAGAGTATGCCCGCGCGACTCGAGATAGCAACGATGCACTAAAAATTGCGGTCAAGCAATACACACCAAAGTCGAATCCAAATCCCCAACCTGGTGATGTGACCATCATTGGGGCTACTTCTGTTGGATCCCCTAAGGTGAGTCGGGACGTATCTTTTGCGCTGTATGAAAGTGCACTTCAAAATGTGACGCCAGAAAATGTAAAATCTAAACTAATGCAATGGCACAGGAACTAAAAGAGCCGTTATGGGAGGAGGTGTATGAAAGGTTAAGCCGCCAGGGACTTCGAATTCGATCTATCTGGATTGCAGATTCAGCCCCACAGGCTGAGAGCGCGGCCATCAATGCGGAATATTTAGGGTTTGAGCGTACGCTTTCAAAATGCCTACCAGCCAATTCTCCCCAGATTAACCCTATCATAGCATCATGGTTCGACCACAGTCGAGACCTGCTTTACATGATCAATCAATATAAAGACGATATGCCGAAGCCTATTATTGGTGTTGGACATAGCATCGGAGTCGGGCAACTGTAGGTTTTCCTCTCTCTCTCTCTCTACACCTGTACTATACATGAATACGAAGACTAATACACTAACGCGATCCACCAGATTGGGTCTAACCCAGATGCACCCCCGGCTTTTCACTTCCCTTATCCTCATAGAACCAGTGATAGTAAAGGAATTCATTTCTGGAAGAGGCCCAGGCTTTGCCAAAGCAGCGCTGATGAAGAAGGATACGTGGAAGTCCCGTGCCGAAGCAGATTCGTACTTTAGAGAGACACTCAACGGATGGGATCCACGATGTCTTGATCTCTGGCTCAAATATGGCCTTCGAGACAACACCGCCGAAACGGAGAACCCCGAGTCGGCAGTCGGTCTAGCTACCACCAAAGATCAAGAGATTGCACAGAGCTTACGGCCCAACTTCATCGACTTGCAACCCGGCAGCCAACACTCAGATTATTTACACGATCCCTCATTCTGGACCGATGTGACCGGTCATTCGGAAACTCTTCCGTTTTACCGCTATGAACCGATCGTGTTATGGAAACTACTCAAATACGTCCGGCCATCGGTACTATGGATCTATGGCGGAAAGAGTATCATGGCAACACCGGATCAACGTGCAGAGAAGCTCCAGCGGACTGGAACAGGGGTGGGGGGTAGCGGTGGCTACGAGAAGGGCCGCGTCAAGGAGATCGTGATACCGAAAGGTGGACACTTCGTTCCGTTCGAGGATGTGGCAGGAGTCGCTGGACCTGCTGCTGAATGGATCAAACAAGAGACGGACAGATGGCATGACGAAGAAGAACGGATCAAGAAGGGTTGGCTGGAATTGACCGCGAGACAGAGGTCGTCAATCCCCAACGAGTGGCTTACGCAGATGGATAAATACTTTATGAAGGGGAAGACGCGTAAAGCGCAAGTGAGCGCAAAGCTGTGAGCAGAATTAAGAAATGACTATCATATTGTTAACTGTTCAAGTTGTGGGTGGACAAACCCCGACAGACCTTGGCTAAGTCATTCTGAATCAAGCCGACTATCTACCCACATACATATATAAGTTCCACTAGTTAATGCACCTTGCAAGCAGTGTAACAAAGTCCCTCCAATAACGTTGCGATCGAATAATAATTAGTAGTAGATGATCTCCCACCTGCAGGGACTTAACGAGGCTACGGTCACCTGACATAAGAAGTAGTAAACCGGAAGCGATTCTCCACGAGGCCGGGAAGCCGATCCGATCATCGCCTCAAGCTCTTACATGGAATGAGACGCATCAACGAAATGCCACCACCAGAGCAAAGGGCTTCCACGCCCACCTCTTCACGACTAGCTGGACGATCACCACGGGTGCTTGCATGCGTGCTGTGCCAGCAGCGCAAAGTCAAATGCGACCGCAAGTTCCCCTGCGCCAACTGCGTCCGGGCCGGCGCGCAGTGTGTGCCCACTCTTGGCCCGCGTCCGCGGCGTCGCAGGTTCCCCGAACGAGAGCTGTTGGATCGCGTTCGGAGGTATGAAGACTTACTGCGCCAAAATAATATACCTTTTGAACCTTTGCATGCTCCTGTAGCGGAAGACAGTAGGGTGCTGGAGACTGTTTACCATGCTCGTTCTGACGAGCCTAATGTGGGGGAAGAGAGGGACGTGGCTGTCAAGGCTGAGCCTGTATACGCGGCTAAGTTGTGCTTCCGCAGTAAGGTTTATCGAGGTCGCGCTAATTGTTGTGTAGGAATTACTGGAAGGTTCTCAATTCAGTGGTATGCACCTTTTCTTGACTTGGGATGAACTACGCTTACAGTGGACGTCAGTCTCAAGATGCTGAGGAGGCCGATTCCGATGATGACAGTGAGGAGGATGGCAATGATCTCACTCACTTTCAGTTCACTCTGGGTGGAAATGCCATAAACAAGATGTTTGATGAGGCATACAAGAATAACGACGAGGGGTTCATATTTGGATCACGCAAAGACAATGTGGATCTGTCGACATTGCACCCTGATCAAGTCCAGATATTCAAGCTCTGGCAGATTTACTTGGACAATGTCGACCCGCTGCTCAAAGTCACGCATACCCCCACGCTGCAAGCACGTATTATTGGTGCTCTTAGTGATCTGACTCGTATAAGCTCGGAACTGGAAGCACTCCTGTTCAGTATGTATAGCGTTGCTATAATGAGTCTCGACGATGAAGAGTGCCGAACGTCGTTCGGGTCTCCGAGGAAAGAGCTTTTGCGAGGGTATCAGTTTGGATGTCAGCAAGCCTTGCTCAATTGTAATGTGTTACGCACCGGGGATCGCGAGTGCCTAACTGCGTTGTTTCTCTATCTGGTTAGTCCGTCGAGTGACCTTGTCGTTTGTGTCTAACCATGTCAGGTGTCTGTGAGTTATGAAACGGATCCGAGGTCTTCATCTTCCATGCTTGGAGCTGCTATTCGAATTGCTCAACGCATGAGCATCCATGACGAAAAGGCAAATGCTAGGTGTAGTGCGCTGGAGGGCGA